TTCGCCTGGATAAGATGCCGAAGGGTTGTATCCCTCGGATTGTAAAGATCGGAGCCGTGAAGTGTGATTGGCTTGTGCGCCAGCCGCCCTGTCCGGATTGCCAGCTGGGATTGTCCCTACTGGAAGGTCCTCGTCGACGACTCGATTAGAGCCATGACTGGATACCGACGAGACCGAAGTGGCGTCGGAGGCCTCGGCATCGGTCACTGTACGACTTACTCGAGACCCACACCGTGTAACCTTTATTTTTGGTTTCGCGGAATATTATCGTGGGACTGAGGAATACGCAACCGAAATCGTCACCAAAAATTCTGAATCTCACAAGAATCGCAAAATTTGCCTCACTAAAAATTAGAAACGATCAGTCTCACAATTTGTGATGAACCCCACGAGAATTCATCACCCGTGCGGAAAATAAAAGAGGAAGGAGGAGTTAATAATAAAAATAAATTGGAAAATGTAATACGGGCAGGCGGGAACGGAGGAATGAGTGAGTGTGTGAAGAATTAGGTAAAATAAATAGGGAAGGAGTTAGTGCGGAAAAGGATCGAGGAGAAGCAAGGAGAGACAGAGGAAAAGGAAATACCGGAGGATATCGTGGAGTTGCCAGGAGTTATCTGCCAAATACGAGCCCCGCGAGATCACCCCACCCGGAAAGGGCCCGGCTGGCGAGAGGCAAGATAGACGGCAGACCAGGCACGGATCAGTGGAGGAGGAGACACGCGGCTAAGTCGGAGTGATGACCCGCACCCCCAACTGTCGAGGGGATGGACCACCGAAGATGGGAGATTCAGCGGATTCCGGAAAACCCCCTTAACCATCTGGTTCGGGACATTCTCCTCCACAATCCCACAAAATTTTAGGCGTAAGGGTACATAATTAGCCCCGTTAACGCAATTAATAACCGCGAGAAAATTTAACACACGATTCTCCACCTGTTGCACGTAGCCGCTCGATGGATGCCTCGATGGCACTACGAGGGAGAAACACTGGCCTTGTTCGGTGGCCACGGACCATTTTCACGCATAACTCCCATGAAAATACCCCCACAATTCACACTAATGACCTCCCAACCGCACTGGGGGATAATGCCGAAATTATTCGGAAAAATCCTCCGCAAACCTCTTCAAAACCACCCAAACTTTGGGCGACACAACCTAGGCCATTTCCATGGCTCGGAAAAATATCACAACCGCCAATAATTATCGGGGAGCTGCCAAAGGGGAAAATCTTTAAATATAACCGTAAAAACTCACGGTAGATTTTCTCGCTGCCTTCCTCTTTCTCTTCAGGACCATCCTGGCTGCAGCTAATTGTCCTGGTATCCTGGGTGATACACTCGTCAAGTCTCACTACTCACTCCTGTTCACTCACGTGTGGATGTTACCGCGGTTAATGCATAACTCATTTTCGGAGGTCAGTGTCGCGTGACGCTGACCCCCCTAATCGCGCCTGCCAATCGATCGGGTGTCGATTGGTGGATCCCTCTACCTTATTCTGGGTCAAGCCCTTCGCGGGGGAATTAATTCAAATTTGAATTAATTCCTCATCCCTAAAATTAATCTATCACCTTCCTTTCCTCAGGATCGGTTCCCTTGGGTTCTCGGGACTAAAAGACCCTTATTCCTAATTCTTTAACCTAATCTTATTTTCCTAACCCTTAACTAATTTGGCAATCTGCCGGGATAACGACTGATTTTATCCCGAGCGGCCTTCCACCCGTATTCAGTCTTGGCAATTCGTAGGGGTAGTGACTGAATCTACCCCGTACGACCTTCCACCCGTAATCAATCTTTGGCAATCCGTCGGGGTTGTTAATATTCTTACCCCTTACGGCGTTCCGCCCGTACCAATGAATCCCCAGAACCCTTTTTCGTAGAGCGCCGGCTTTTTATCTGGACCTACCCGACCAGGAGGGCTTACTCTCTCATCCTTTAAAAATCCCTCTCACCCTTAAGGGGGGAGCCTGCTTTAGGAGGCCTAAAAAAGGCAGTTTTTCGTGATTTTTTTTAGGATAGAAAAAAACAAGCAAATGTAATGAAATTTTTACATCATTTTATAACATATGTAAACTTATAAAAAACATTTTTTAAAATTTAAAATATCGAAATACAGCCCACTTTCATCTACTTTTGTGCACCACCGCGCAATTGAAGTGTCCAATTGGCGGGCAAAATGTAGGTCGCAATTTTGTCTGAAACAAAAAAATCAAATGGATAATTAATTTTCATTAGTCCTTCTTCTATGTGAACCTAAACAAACCCGAAAAAAACGCGAAAATCAAAGTTTTTTTTAGATTTGAAAAAAAAAGTTGCATTTTTCACCAAAAAACCTATCTTCAATTTAGTAAAAAAATAGTTTAGAATTTTGTTTTCAAGAACTTTTTAGATTCACAGAGGAGGTAATAAGATACTGAATCTAATAAGCTTTGGTTTTATACGATTGGTTGAATACTTTTTTTGTAATTTTGCCCGCCAATTTTGGAAAATCCCAAAAATGAAAACTCGAGAAAACGCGCTTTAACGTTTATGGTCGGAAAAAATAGTACTTTTTGATTACTTACAGCAATAATACGCTAATCAGCTATTCCTGGACCATAAAGTAGACCTTCCTCTTCCTCAAAATACTCATTTTGTTGAAGTTGATGGAGTCTATGGGCTGTTCGAGACACTTTGCTGTCGAAAGACGAACGACAGTTTTCCCGACTGACGTGCTGTTTGTCAACGTTCTCAGCAAAGATCTGGCATTGTATGCCAATTTTCAAATCGAGAAGCTCCATGGTACTTAATACTGCCGAATACCCTTCGTTGAACATTCCTGCAGCCAAGAAAGCAGCAATTTCAACGATTTTTTGGCCAGAATGCAGAATGCAGAATGGAGACTCGAAACAAAACTGAGTAAAACTGAGCAAAACTAAACAACACAGACTGTTGATGCCGTAGCTTAGAAGCAAATACAGACATAAATATAATGGGTACCGTTATAATGCGTCCCCAGGTATACATTTGGGGTATTCCGAATAAAGGGAAGAGCACGAACTCTATAGAGCGGCTGCAGCTGCCCGAACGCTCGTATACCTGCTCGGCGCCCGACTGCTTTTAGTGCTGTATCTTCGAAAATAATCAGAATTGTCTTTCCAAAATTGACAGACATACTCTTAGATATATTAGGAACAGATTTAAGCAATAAAAAAAATATCGATTTTTTGAGCCTCCGAAAGCAGGCTCCCCCCTTAACCTACTCTAAACCACCCGAAAGGGGGGAAATCCTAATTTTCCTAACCCTAACCCCTAATTTTATTTGCCTCACTCTCTCTCTTTTTTGAATTTTATTGGGGATTTGAACGGGCATCCTCAATGCTCGTTACAAATTTTATATTTCTCCTCTGGATTTGCAACTGTGATTAGTCATCGAAGAACAGCATAAACATTAGTCTTAGATCTTGTGAGGACAAATTCATGTTTCGCATTTACGATCACTTTTTCATAATCCTCAGCAAAACCAGGGATTAAACTCAATTGTATTGAAATATCGAAATATGCGTTCGCATTTGTGATTATCTCACCGCTATCCATACCATCATCTTTCAACCAACCAGTATTCTCCATCAATAATCAATGGTTGGGGCTTTGTGAAACGTAATTCTTCATGAGATTCGTTGAACCAACATTCTTTGCACAATCAATTTCGATTCCATTGAACTCATATCGAATGTACTCAAACAAATTACAGATGGCGTTGTTCGCCAATCGGGTTCTTTCAACAAGGATTGCGTCGTTTTCCTTGGTCAATCGTCCATGAATGTGCAGATGACTTTTTTACTAGGTAAAAGGCATAAATCCTGATGGTGCACTGTTATCGAACTTTCATCGTTGGCACCAAATGATGATGAAGCGATTGGTTGATGAGCATGCATTTCATAATGAGAAAGAGTCTGATCAAATTCAACAGGTTTATGGATTCTCAGTATATCTTCAATGATTTATAGTTTCCGCCGTCTCGGCTTCAAATTCAAGCTTCGAAGGAATCAATAAAAGTTTCGTCTTTATCCAATAAATAAGGCCGAGAGCTAGGGTGTATCTTGTAACGTGGTATTTTGACCAGTTAGTGTTCCTCGTCCGTTCCGCGTTAGTTATTTGACTTCCACCAGACGGGAAGTCACCTTCGATGGCGAAAGTCCTGAGAGAGACGAGAATATTAGACTGATTTTAGCCTGTTTTATTTTGAATTAAAATTACGCGCCACTGCGTTCTTGCTGAGGACATCATTGAGGATCTCGACGAGGCTGGAAGATGTCATCAAGCTCTGATGGAATTTTGGCAGTGACGGATTTATGGATGTGGTCGTCGATGGAGCCACAATCCAGGCAACACATTCGCAACACATCAAGGAAGTGACGTAGTTTTGCTGAGCACGAGGCTGAACCGATTGGCATTGAATGGAAAAAATAGAATAAGATTTAATCACGGAGAGTTACTATTCTCTCAAGGTAGTTTGAAACGTGAAATTGACTAAGATTTTTTAGGCAGCGCTGAGAATTCATTCTCATTTATGATAGGCAAGAAATTTAATGAAAGCATCGCAAAACTTTGTAGGGTATGATTGCCAAAAATATTATCTATGTGGCGAGGACACGTGACCGCGAACACGAACACATCGGGTCCGGCGTGCATCGGTGGGTTTTTAGCGGATTGTCTGGGTTTTCCGGAGATTGTGAGGTGAAGAAGTGACAAGAGTGGCGTAGTGTGGAGGGAGGAACTTGGGAAAGTGAAGGTTCAAAGAGGAAGCAAGGAGGATAGGAGGTTTTTGAAGGTAAAAGTGGTGCGGAAAAAAGCAGGGTTAGGAGAAAGAACAAGGAGGAAAGCAAGATACAACAGAGAGGGGACGAGTTTGAGCGGGATAGACGCGAGGACGAGAGAGGAAAGAGTCCGGAGTAGGAACAGAGAGAGGGTAGGACGGGAAAAGCACCGGCTGAAATTGAGGAGAAAAAAATAGAAGAGATGACCGGTGAGGAACGGGAAAAGGAGACGGAAGAGGCCAAGCCCAAGAAGAGGGGACGCCCCAGAAAGACAGAGAATACAGAGAAAGAAAACATAAGGGACTACTTCAAGGGAAAAGAAATCCCAGGGGGGAAAGAAATCCCACGTACCCCACAGGGAAGAAAGGAAAAAAAGGAAGGGAGTGACAGGAGTCCAGGGAGCACAAAGGGAGGAGAAGAGGAAAAAGAAGAAGGAAGCGCAGAGAAAACGACACACGAAACAGGAGACCCAGTGATAACAAGAGAGGGGGAGGAGAAAGACACAAACGAGAGCAGAGAGAGTACAGAAATAGAAAGTGAGGAGGGAAAAAGGTCAGAGAGAAGAAGGCTGTCGGAAGTGAGGGCAAGCACACAGGCTGGAGAGGAGGTAGGGACACAGAAGCCGGACTGGCAAGGAGAAGAGATGAGAGACCTAGTAGAGGAGGTAGAGAAAGAGGAAGAGAGCAACAGAGGGAAAGAAGAGACAGCGGAAAGGGTATGTGTTAGGAGGCTGGAGAATTGGATGACGACCTGGAAAGAGGATCAGAGAAAGGAATTGGAAGAAAAAATGATAGACCTGGAGCAACATTGGGTAAAGAGGATAGCTGAATGGGACCAAAGACTGGAGAAAAACCTAAGTAGCGAAAGAAGGGGTAGAATATGCGAGGAGTGTGAGCGCAGAAGGAGAGAATTAGTGAGGTGCGGATGCAGGGGTGAAAGTGAGGAGTCAGTAAAGGCATTAAGGAGAAGACTGGAACGGAAAGAGGAAGAACTGGAACGGAAAAAGGTAGAAATAAGAGAGCTCAGAAAACAGGTAAGACTGGGGAGGGCTAGGGCAAAGGAGGGGGAGGGTATCAACAGCGGGAGTGGAGATGACGAAGGAGGGAAGGAGAAGGGTGGCGAGGGAACAAGGAAGGAGGGAGGGGGGAATGGTAGAGGTAGATGGTGGACTCAGGGGCGAGTAGAAAACTACCAGGAGGAGAACATAGAAGAGATTAGCCGCCCAAGGGGAGACGACAGAGGGAGGCTGAGGGTAGACTATGAGGAATATGGAGAGTCAGAAGAGAGCGAGAAGAGAGAGGAGACAGAGCATAGTGCAGGAAGTAGGTCACCATTAAAAGGGCCGGAAGAGTGGAAGAAGGTGAATAGAAGTATGAGAGCAGCAGGGATGAGCGGAGAGAATAGGAACAGGAGGGTGGAGGGGAAAGAAGGGATAGACGAAAGTAGAATGAGTGACAGGACGGAGGACAAGCACCCAAAAAGTCTGACAGAAGGAGAGTGGGAAGAGGAATTGAAGGAGAGAAGAATAAGGAAAAAGAACCTCATTATGGAGGGACTGACACTACTGAGTAGAAGAAAGAAGGAGGAACTGGAGAAGTTTTTTAGGGAACAGATGAAGCTAGAAATCAGAGTAGAAAGACTGGACAAATGTGAGAACAGGGGCTGGAGGGTAAAGGTAGAAGAGTTTAGGCACAAATTAACAATATTAGCAGGGCAATCAGGTCTGCGGAGAAGGGGGTGGGGAGTGTACTTTAGAGATGATTGGACGGAGAGACAGAAGGAGATAAAAAGATGGTTGGAAGAGCAAGCAAGAGGATGGAGGAGGATAGGAATGGAGGCAGAAACGGCCTATAACAGCATACAAATAGAGGGACACAGGCTGGAATTGGATGAGTTAGAGGGAGAGCTGAGGGTAAAGACAGAAGGAGGGAACAGGGAGAAGAGAAGGACCCCACGGCCATTTCGTGGGGAGGAAAAAAGAGAAGGAGAAGGAAAAGTAACCCAGGCCACTCCGCTGTATGCATTGGAACGTGGAGAACGCACGGAACATCGAAAAGAATTAAGAGTTATGGGAAAAGATGGATGTGATACTACTTCAAGAAACGCATCTAGGAGAGAAAGAGTTGAAGAGGTGGAGGGAGAAACTGGACAGAAAATACGAGTGGTTTGGGAAGGCAGCGGTGAGGAAGCGCAGCAGAGGAAAAGCCAGCGGAGGAAACTTGGTAGGAATCAGGAAGACGCTGGAGGCAGAATGGAGAGTGGAGGAATGGCACTACGGTATAATTGTGGAAATAAGAGACAGAAAAAATGAGAGGAGTAATATTATAATCAGCACATATAATAATGATAGGAAAAACATGGGCAAGGTATTGGAGGCGCTAGGGACGACAGTTGATGACAAGGAGGGAGAGGGGGCAAGGATAGTAATTTCAGGGGATCTAAACGCTAGAATAGGGGAGCTGCAAGGATGGGCATCATGTGGAATGGTGGAAGAGGGTAGAATAGGAGAAAGGATAGCACAGGATAAAACTGAGAGAGGAGAGGGAAGGAAGCTGATAGGCTGGTGTGAAGAGAGAGCTTTCTTAGTGGAAAACGGCAGAGCCAGGGGAGACGAGACGGGAGCAATTACGTTCATTGGAGAGGGGGCAGGACTGGGCAGCACACTGGACTATGTCCTAGTGAGGCTGGAAGATGAGGAAGAGCCGAAATGGTTCAAGGGAATGAAAGTGGAGGAACAAGAAGGATCGAATCACCTGCCAGTGGTATATAATCTAGAGTGGGGACAGATGAGAGGGGCGGAGGAAGAAGAGGAGAGAGGGGGCGGGAATAGACTGAGATGGAAAGAAGGAAGGGAGGAAAATACAGAGAAAAATGGCAGGAGATTTGGAAATATAAAAATCAAGAGGACATAGATACTAACCATAGATGGGAGAATCTACCAAGGATAACAGTAGAGGCAGCAGAGAAAGCAAAAATGAAAAGTGGCGTAACAAGGAAAAAAAGGGCAGAGTGGGACAACGGAGAATACAGTAAGAACAGAAGAAAGATGTTCAAATGCCAGAAAAAATCCAGAAAAACAAGAAGTTGGAAAAATAAGGGGGAGTACAATAGAGCAAAAAGAAAACTGAGAGAGATAAGGGGGAGATTAATTCATGAGTGGATAAAGAAAAAACAAAAAGAAGTAGCAACCAGTAGGACAATGACAGAAACTTGGAAAGCATTAAACTGGTTTAGGAAAGGTAGGAGAAACGTGGAAAATGATGTGACGGAAGAAGAGTGGAAAAGGCATTTCATGGAATTATTAGAAGGAGAAGAGACAAGGGCACGAGCAGAGAGACCGAAGCAAGAGGAAGACGAGAGAGGGAAGGGAGAGGAAGTGAGAGGGAACTCAGAAGAGGAAAAAAACGAGTCTAGGTATAAGAGAGAGCAGGGACAGAAGGGGATTGTAAGAGAAAATGGAGAGAGAGAAAAGGGAGGAAAGGAAGTAGATAAAAGAGGGGAAGAGGAGGAAGAAAGAGATTCGGACCTGGATAAAGCATTGACGGATAGGGAACTAAAAAGGGCGATAAAAAGGCTGAATTCTGGAAATACTTACCAGAGGTAGGGAAAGAGGAGTTCAGAAGTATTATGAAGGAATTATGGAAAAAGGAAGAAATCGTAGATAGGTGGCGGCTAGCCACAATATTCCCCATTCACAAGAAAGGAGATGTGAATATAGCAGCAAATTATAGAGGAATATCGCTGCTAGATATAGGCTATAAGGTACTGACAGGAATAATGGCCAGGAGGCTAGGGAAATGGCTAGATGAGGAAGGAAAGCTGACGGAAGCACAGGCAGGATTCAGAAGAAAGAGAGGCACAATGGAGCAGGTATTTGTTTTGAACACAATGATAGGAAAAAAGCTGAGGAAGAAAAAAGGAAAACTGTATGCGGGGTTCATCGATTTTAAGGCGGCATTTGATAAGGTAGACAGAGAAAAGCTGTGGGAGAAAATGAGGAGGATAGGAATCGAGGGAAAATTTTTAAGGATAGTAAAGCGAATATACGGAGAAACTAAGAACAGGGTAATTACAGGAAAAGGAACGACGGGAGAGTTCATGACAGGAAAAGGAGTTAGACAAGGCTGCCCGCTTAGCCCATTACTCTTCAACATTTTCATTCAGGACTTGGTAGAGGATTTAGAGAAAAAGAAGGAAGGTGGAATGGTGATTGATGCGAGGATGGGGGGAAAGATCTATACGCTATTATACGCGGACGACGCGGCCTTGATAGCAGAAAGTGGGGAGGAGTTAGCAGGGATGCTGAAGACGTAAGAAGACGTGAAGAAGTAAGCACGGAAAAAACAAAAGTGATGGTATTTAGGAGAGGAGGAAAAAGGAAACCAGAAAAGTGGTATTATAAAGGAGAGGAAATAGAGGTAGTAAAAGAATTTAAATATTTAGGGTATTGGTTCACCCACAGGGAACAGACACACAAGGCACACGGCGAAGCTCGCAGGAAAGGCGCAGATATTGACAAATAAGGCATGGGGAGAAATGACGAGAGCAAGGATAAAGGACTTGAGAAGGAGGTTATACTTTCTGGGAACGACGGTGAAGGCAGCGGTGCTATATGGAGTGGAACTGTGGGGCTGGAAAAGACAGGAGGGAGTGGAAAAGGTACAAAAGAGATACATAAAGACAAACATGGGACTGACGAGGAACACTCCAGACTACATATGGAGAATGGAAGCGGGAGTCACTAGCGTGGAAGTGGAAGCGTTTAGGCGAGCGGCAAAATTCCTGGTGAAAATGAATAAAATGGATAAAGAGAGATGGCCAAGGAGATGTATGCGAAAAGAACTAAGGGGAATCAAGAACGGTGAGACAAAAAGGTGGGGACAAGAGATGGTAAAGAAGTAAGTGAACTAGGGGATGGACAGTTCCTGGAAATGCTGTGGAACGAGAAAAACGAGGAAGCAATAGAGAGGATAGAGGAAATGACACAGTTCTTGGGAGATCAAGAGGCACAAAAGGACTGGGAAAGAATCGAAAGATCAAGATACTGTAGCTACTATAAGAAAATAAAGGACAATGCAACGATGGAAGGGTACTGGCAGGACGGGAAACTAGGACTAGAACAGAAAATGGTATGGGCAAGGTGGAGATGCGGGAACGCACTAAGAGGCAACAGAACAGGGATGATAGAAGACACATGCAGAGCATGCAAGAAAGAGAAGGAAGTGCTGGAACATGTGATAAATTGCGGGGTACTAATGGGGAGGCTAGAAGAGGAGGAAGAGAGCTGGTGGAAACAGTGGAGGCAACAGAGCAGCGACAGAGCATGGAGAGAGAGAATGGTGGAAATGCTGAGGGGACAGACGGATAGAAAGGTATGTGGAAGGCTAGGAAAGATAGAGAAAAAACTGACGGAAATGGAGGAGGAAAGGAGGGAGGACTAAAAGAGAGACTGAAATAGACACAAGAAAGACGAAAGGAGAGGGACTAGGAAGCAAGGAAAGGAGCCGAACAACTGTGATAAACAGAAGGATACAAGGAAGGAATGAATATATATTAAATGATAAGGACATAAAATGCTATGAAAATGTTATTAAGTATATTAAACTTGTATATGGTTGATCTTATAGTAACGAAAAGAAAGAGGAAAGGGGAGAATACCGATGTAAAACAAAGGAAAACATTTGTAACATCAACGAAATAAACAAATAATAATAATAAATAATATTATCTATGTCGCGCATGCCCGTTCAATTGGGATTGGTGGATGATGACGTTGTCATCCGCCCCAATCATCTAATTCATCGCGTTACCTACCTGTTGCCAATTCACGTGCGTTTTGGAAATCACTTCCCGTTTGGTGGTTAATTGGAGCGGACCTGCGACAGATTTTTAAACGAAGGCCGCTAAGTACGTTAAAAGACGCCATTCCGACGGTTTTGTGGATTCTGAACATTTTGGAGAATCATTAAGAGATTTGGTTGAGCGTGGTGGCCGTTCTTTTATTGAAAGTATTTTGTCACTGGGCAGAGATTCGATAGTCGATTTATTTTTGATGTTTTGGACATCCGAGTCCTGCAGGACTGTACGAGAATCGTTTCTATCAGGGAATCTCTGACCACTTTAATCAGTGATTATTTTGGCTTTCTCTCTCTCGTTCAATTAATTATTCAGATTTATTTTATTTTAAATTTTGTTATTTATAATTTTTTTTGGTTAGTTTCGCGACTTTTGTTAGATAAATTCGTGTCGTGAGATTTATTAGAACCTCGCCATTGAATTTAATTTCGATTTAGTAGTTTCAAGGTCTCGTGACCTGCGAATTATTCTGTCTCTAGTTTTGTACTTATTTCGTGTATTTTTGATTGTTCGAGGTCACGTAGACTTATCGATTTTTCGCGTTACTGTTTCGAGTCATTGAATTAATGCGACAATTTCTTGTAAAGTATTTCCGATAAAATTTGTGACTTCTCCGACTGCTACCAATGGAGTTTTGTAACTCAGTTGGTTTCCGTCAATTTGTGATAGTTTCGTTGATAATAACAACTCGAGTCTCGTGATTCAGTTGTTTGATATTTTAATTAATTCTGACTTTTGTGATTATTTAATTATTTATTAATTTATTTATTTTGAAAACTTTTGGACTTCAGAAAACCTGTATGAACTTAATCAGACGATTTGACTTTACCGATTAATTTAAATGTTCTGTAACGAGTAGTCGATTTAAGGGGATATTATTTTATCATTTTTTTTTATGTATACGAGACTGATTTTTTTTAATTAAATATTGTTCTCCCCGACAATTCTTATTTGAATTATTTTTTGCTGAGGATCCCAGTTGCATCCCCTTTCAGCTTCCGATTTTCTAAATCTCTACGTGTTGTGCTACTGGAGCAATTGAGGCTGAGAGCGGAGAAGGATTTCGATACGGCGGTCATTCCGTTAAAAATTGACCTGGCGCCTAACTTATTTTTCTGATTTTATTTTGGGGTGTTTTGGTGCCAGAGGGCGGGCTAATGGACGGAGGGTTCCGTGAACCTCCGAAAATTACGTCGCAATCTATACACAACACAACTACCCCTTCCACTACCTCCTAATCGTATTCAATCCATAAAATACAAACGCCACAAGTTACACGAAATCTGTGTACAGTTACATTGTTTATTTTGTGGTAACGAATATTAGCTTTGCGTTTTGTTGGAAAATTATATGCAGTTCTTGACCTATTTATGTGTGTAATTCCATATATGACTGAAGTCAATTTTGTAGGTTAATGGAAGTATGAATTTCGACCTTTCGACATTAAACAAAAAATTATGCAGTCTAATACATACATAAATGTAGAAAGGACTTTTTCAAATTGTTGAAACATAGTGTATTCCCTTTTAAAAAAAAGTATGTAACGTTTTTTGTCAGCTTCTTTTGGCGCTATGCATATCAAATTATATCTATATAATATGATATATATATATATAATACGTATATATATAAATAATATATATAATATATAATATATATAATTATATATATATATTGATTTTTTTTATATCATAATATCTAATATTTTTATTTTTATATTATATTATACTAAATTTACTATTTATTTATTCATAATGCAATATATAAATTTCATATAATCTATAAAAAAAAATTAAATTAAATTATTAAATTTATTAAATTTTAAATTAATTTTTATATGAATTTTTACATTTTTTTCTTTCTTCTTTTTGAAATTCTATATATGTTGTGACGTATTTTCGCTCTCCGCGGAAGAAGAGAGAAATATACGCAGCCCTCGACGACCAACCTCGAACGACAAAATAATAGGCGCGAGGACGTTTATATAAAAAAAAACGGCCAAAAATCGAAATTATCAATTAACAATAAGGACAGTTGCCAACTAGCCAGTATAATA